AGCATAGGGGGCTGGCACCTACTCCTTTGAGCCACAGGCGCTGCCCTCAGTTATCTCTTTATAATAAGCCTTTGTACGTTGTATGGCATGCCCCTTTCCTTACTTAACGCCCAAGATTCTGAGACTTCGAATGGAATTACTTTGATTAATTGGGAGACAATTGAGATTTTTATAATTGAATCTTCTGTCCGAGACTGTGATTTCCCTGTCCATTTATTTAGATGTTCTTTAATGTTTTTCAGTAAAGTCTTGTGATTTTTCACTTCTCAATGCAGCTTGGAGATGGTTCCATATTGTCCTATGGACTGAGAGCAGTCTCACCCTCTCAGCAGCTGCATGCTATCCCACTGAGGGGCGTCCCGTCATTCATTTCTCCAGGACCCTAATGATGTCCTTTTAGGATATCTGTGATTTGTTTTTTTTTTTTGCTACAGCAGTGCTCTATAGGAAGACCTTGAACTTATTTGAGCACCACTGTAAGTGTGTCTGTAGGAGAAATTCTTAGAAGAAAGATGACTGGGTCAAAAGGTACTTGCATATTGTGAGTGAACACACACTTCTTTCCAGAGAGGCTGTGCCATGAAATTGCCTCCTTAAAGTCAAAATGGCTCGGTGGTTAGATCCAAGTAGACCTCTTGTTCGATTTTCATGCTTCTCATCTTCTTTGTGTCACCTAAGACGTCACTGTGGCCTCCTTCTGGAAATTCTTTTTTTTTTTTTTGCAGTTGTTGGCCAGGGATGGGTTTGAACCTGTCGCCTCTGGCATATGGGGCCGGTGCCCTGCTCCTTTGAGCCACAGGCACCGCCCTCCTTCTGGAAATTCTTTGGTTTATGTGGCTCTGCCTTAAGAACAACAATTCTTCACTTGAATCATTTGCTCCTGTGTTTACTTACTCATCGACTCATTCATTCACAGTTATGTGCTGGGGATTGGGCAGTCCACCAGGGGGCCCTCCCATTTTACTTATCAAGTAAAATGTCACATAACCATTGAATCTGTGCCTGTCTATAAGTAACTGAGGGTGTTCATTACCAAAATAGGGGTGCAAACATTTAGAGTGGAGAAACTGGAACACAGGAACATCAGATGGCTTAATTAAAGTCAGAAGGCATGGAAATGGCCAAAGTAAGACTGAAAGTGGCGTTTCCCGTTGCTGACGCAGCAGAAGACTTCCAGGGAAAGGTGTGCCTTCCTCGGAGAAAGACTGGCCTCACTCTTGTGGTTTTCTCCAGGTGTGAGGACCACAAAGAAGTAGATTGACCTGATCTGTCTGCCTGGGTGCCAGTCCTGATCTCCACCTGCCTTAAGCTGCTCAGAACACGAGCAGCGCTATCCAGGAGCAGTGATCGTGGGCTAGTGGCCAGGGAGCCTATGCCTGGCTGCCAAGTTTCCACTTTTCCTTCTCAGCAACTTCTCCAAATCTCTGTGGAGGCTCTCCCCACCCCCACTCCTTGGCAGCAGGACGCCACCATTTGAGCCTGCCTGTCCCTACCCTTCAGAATGGAATTTGAAAGTTTGCAATAACCAGTGTTTGCCCTTGTGGGGTAGCTGGCCCAGAATAGCTGGGAAAGGCAGGATGTTGGAGCCACAGTGGGAAAAATTGCAGTGCTGCTAATGACATGCTGCGCTTATCTGGAACCCAGTGTCTTACAGACTATGACGAGGCCACATCCCTTTTTCCAATGATGAGAAAACAGACACGATGAGGGGCAATGACATGCCCAGGGAAGGAGGAAAAACTGCCAGACTGGGATGGGCACAGAATGTGCTGCCTCCTCTGCCAGGATCCCAGCGAGTGTCCCCTCCCCTGTTAGCCCCTGGGGCTGACATCCCATGAACTGCCCTTGTCTGAGAATATGGAGTCACTAGAAAATTTTCAGGAAGCCTACAGGGATTTGGCCCAGTGCCCTGTGTAGGTGTGAGCTCCTAGGGAGTTCTGGGGTGGGCTTGTTACGGCTCATTAGGGAGCCTGGGAGAGACCCTGAGGGCTTGGTCTTCCTGGTTGGCTTTGACTTCTGACCCACTATCAGGGGCTGACGAAATCTCTCCTTTTGGTTTATGTTGTTGTTTGTTTTTGCCATGACTTTTGTCCTAGCACTCACAGAGACTCTGCCCAACAGGAAGGTATTTGCTAAACGGCTGCGTCTGGCTGCCTGCGGGTGCTGCCGGGAAGGAAGAGAACCACATCATCTGTGTGAACATCCCTTGCTTGCCAGATTTGCCATCTTTTCTACTTAACGGTTTTAAAGCAGAAGTCAAGTTGATGACAAAGAGCGTTAGGAACCTGGCAAGCTCTCTGCTTTGGTGGCATATATTTTTTTCCTTCTTTGAGGACTGGCTGGCAGTCTTTGGGAGCTGGACTTGCAAGCCTGGCCCGTTTGTCTGATGGTTTGAGTTGTGGACATGATGGTGGCACCTGAGATGTACCCAGACCTCAATCCCTATCTTTGGAATTCCTCACACCTCTGAGCCTTCTGTCTCACTTGAATATCTTGGGAAACCCCAAGCTTCTTTTGTTGCAGTTAATATCACTCCCTCCTGTCCCCCAGTTTTCATTGCCCAAAGGAATACGAGTAATCCTTTTTCTAATCTCCTAGGACATGTGGGGATCAACCCAGCATGGGAAGGAAGAAGATCGTACTTATGGTAATGAAAGTTATTTATAAGGAACATTACAGTACTTTGGGTCTGCCTTACTGACCTTTTCCTTAATCATGTGAGAAACTACAGGTTCACAGCTGCTTATTCCAAATCTCCCAAATATAAAATGCTCTGAAAGCTTAAGAATGTTTCCCTAAATTTAGTACAAATGAATTTAATAGAACAACATGACTTGGACTATGCGGAGACTGATAATAGCCCTCATTTATTCCACTGTAGAACGTCCTGGTGTTTGATGAAGGGGAACTGCCCTGAAGCACCCCGCCTTGGGTTGAGTCTGTAGGGTGTCCCCATCTTCCTCTGACCATGGTTGGCCTCACTGGATCCAGATGACAGAACCCAGGCTTATCTCTGCTTTCACGTAAGGACTCTAAGGCCCAGCGAGGTGTGGTAGCATTTCCAGGCTGGGCCAAGGTAAGATAGTGGGGATTCAACCTCCTACTGGGCCGAGGAGCTCATCGTTCAGCTGTATTTGCAGACTCTGTCCTCTTTGGGGCATGTGTACTCGTGTCTTGGAATTATGTCAAAATGCCCCCTCTTTCAGCTCTTTGGCAGCAGAGCCATCTTGGACAGACCAAAGAGAAAGAATAAATCTTCCATCTTTCTGCTCCCAGCTTCATGAGCATTGACCAGCATCTCTCTAAACCTCAGCTCCTGGGCTGGACAGCGAGGAATTTTCCATTGCATCTGGGGAGTCCCCACTTCGTAAGAGTCCTAAGAAAGGCCCAGATCTCTGATGTATACGGACCGATGTCTCATACGGGCTGCATAAGATGTTTTTTCCTCTGAGGTCTATTTAAGGACAGCGTAACCAAGGGAAGGTCAGTCTGTATGTTGGGCCTTGCTCTGGGTGATGGGGAAACTTCCTCATGTCACTTACAGGAACAAAGACAAGCTTATCTCTGGGTTTTCCTGTATCAATAAGCAACAGGAGACATAAGCTTTGCCGAGCTTCAGGCGCCTATTCCAAGAACACCAGCAGCTCTGAGTCTTGTAAGTCTAGTGGAGGCCACATCTCTGGAGGACACATTTACTTAATCTCACCGCTATGTTCTTTAAGTTCTCCCTGGGGGGCTTGGAAGCCTTTCTGTCACTACTCTCTGAAAGGTGCTGGCCAGCACAGACACAGGCTCTGCAGGGAAGCCGCTGGGCACTCACAGGCTCCCTCCCCCACCCAGGGGTCATCCCGTTATGCTCAGCTCTCTCTGGACACTGCCGAGCCCAGCCTGGGACGACAGTGGACACGAGCGTGCATGCTTCTCTTCCCCTCTTTCTGCCTTCTCTTAGCTTGTCCATGTGTTGGTGCAGAGGACGGGAGGAGATTTCAAAGCAAGGGGGAGTGAAATCAGCCTCTTTGTTCGCCCTGAATGTCCCAAACCAGCATCCCTGTTTGTACATCACTTGTCCAGACAGGATGAGAGAGAGGGGCCCTCGGAGGAACAAGGACAGAACAAGGGGCAAGTACGAAGCCCAAGCTGGGAGCAGGTCAGATAGAAGCCAGAAAAAGCACTCTGTCCTGGTGGAGCTTGGTTTCTCGGCCAAGTCCTTCCTCTTCCAGTGACATGATAAGATTCCACAACAAGCTGTCTGAGCGACTGGGGCTGCTGAGACTAAGCCCCGACCAGGGACCAGCAGGAGGAGCCTAGGGCAGCGGTCAGTAGGGGAGGTGGGCTAAGGAACTTGTTTAATAAAAATATTTATGGAGTTGAAAAAAATGTCAGGTTTTTCTATCAAGGAATGAGAGGCCTTGTGGAGACGGAGGCGTGCCGAAGCTCCTGCAGCCGTCTGGGCCCCACCACTGTGCTCACGTTGTTTTCTGGAAAATTTAAGCCTCTTGGGCAGAGGTTTCTTCCCAACCTTTGAGAGCAACGGACCATCACTTTCTGAAAATGCACGTGTGCACACACACACAACCTGACGTTCTGTTGCAGAGGGCTCCCAGAGTCCCCCAAACTTGCTATTAGTCTCTGGACTCCAGGCTGAGCCCACTGTGGGTGGTGCGTCTCAGATTTGCCACTGTTTGGAGCCTTGATCCCATGGGGTTGGTTACTGAAACCCATCCCCTGCTACCAAGGAACCCAGAGCACTTAGCTGTCTGTGCTCCCCCACCCTGTGTGGGACATCCTTGTCTGGGGACCCCACCCCCTCCACATCTGGAAAGATGTTTGGACACCCAGAGGTGGCCATCTGCACGCCCAGCCCAGTCTGGCTTCCAGGGGTGGCTTTCCCCGCCCAGCAGCGGGGCACACACACAGTTAATCCTCGGCGCCTGCTGTTTGGCTAAAATGCGCTGGGAGCGTTCAAGGCTCCCTCCGCTGCTCACATCTGGCTGGGGCTTGCTCTTTACACGGTCGCCCTGCTTTCTTCGCTTTCTTCGTTTACTTTCAAGAAACTGCATTTCCGCTTCTGGCCAAAGACTTGGAGCCTTGGAGATAAAGGTGCCGGGAGGGGCCCTAGCTGCTGCCTGCCCCTCCCCTAGCCCCTCTCCTAAGCCTTCTTCCCCCAGGACTTTTTCCCCTGCTCTGTTGCCTTTCAGGAGTCTGTGCTTCCCCTTCCTGGGAGCTGGCCGGGAGGAGGCTTTGCCGAGAGCAGGCTCGCCCGAGATGCTCTAAAAGGCAGTGCCAGGAGCTCCCCGGAGAGGCCGCTGTGAGCACGGGGTTGGCGGCCCAGCTGGACGGAGGTAGGTGGCCCAGGAGGCGGGACAGAGCTGCGAGGGACCCAGCGGCTACTGCTTCTGTCTTCGTGGCTTCAGCCCGGTTGCCAGAGCAGGGCTGAGCAGACACCTTTGCCAGCATGGCCGGTGGGAGGGGCCAGGTTGGCAGTTGCGGCTGAGGGGCAGCAGAACTAGAAGTTTCAGAGAAAGCTTTGCTCTGTCCCTGCTAACTCCACTTCCTGAGACCAGTTCCCCGGGGCTGTGTGATCTCCCATCTCCCTCCTTGCCATGGAGGAGGTGGGCTTTTTCTGCGGATACTGTCAGGAATAATTGTTACCCCCCAATTTCTTGTGGGGTGTTATCTTGCTTTACTCTTCTCTATGGCTTTCTGAAGACGTGTAACGGAAGCAGATGGTACCCATGCCCAATCCCTCACCCCACCAGGGTCCCCAGACCACCTGAGAGCCAGGTCTGTCCAGTCTGGATGTGGCTGACTCTTGGACCCTGCATACTGCAGGAGCCATTGACTTTGGCGCCTATCTAACAGCCTTGGTGATCCTGGAGGGAATCCAGCTGGGGCAGGAAAAAACAATGTTCCTTCCCCGGGGACCCTCCTGGGAAGCGAAGCTGCCTATGTCACTGAGAGTCTGGGTCTGGAGTCACTGAGCCACTCTGCAGCCTCTGGGCAGTGTGTGCTGACTGCTGGCTCATCACCCAGCCCTTGGGAGCCTCTCATGGGCACAGATGTGCCTCCACAATGCCAGTTCTCAGGCCTTATCCAGCCCTGGAGGGCTACGTGTCTTCTGTGGACGCCCTCCTGTGCTTCAGGTACTCACAGCTGTCTTGACAGATCTGAGCTTGGGCAGGAGGGAGGAGTCTCCTGCCTTTCCCTCGCTTGATCTCTGGGAATGGAGATGGCATGGCACACTTGGAGCCTTCTCCTTCCGAGCTTTGCAAATGAGAAATGCCTTGAGAACCCGTCTTTTCTCCACTGCTAGCAACTTCTCAGGTCCCCAGGGAGTGTTTGACGTCCTTAAAGGCTGCCCAGACTTTGCTTTTTATAGCACAGGAAAGTACACACTCCCCAGCAGGCCATGCGGCCCTGTGAGCACTGTCACAGATAGACGCACTTGACCGTGTGTGCAGGGAGGGGAGGCACATTCTCCACGAGGCCTGGTCAGCATCCCTGCTGACCAGAGAGGAGGGGGCACAGACAGGGAGGTGGGAGGCAGAGGGCGGAGAACTGCTTAGACCTATAGAGGTGGACAGGTGCTTAATGACCCAAGGACAATCACTGCGGCAGTAATAGTCATAACATCAGCTGCATGTTTGCGTGTGTTTTCTGCATGGCAGGTGCTGAGCAAATGTTGATTCTTAGTAGCTCTGCTGAGGTCGCTCTCAGAAACTGGGAAGCGGAGAGCTACAAAGCTTGGCAAGGCTCACAACTTGCCCAAAGTCCCAGAGCAGGTAGAAGGAGGACCCGAGATGCACACGTGTGTCTTCACATCCAGAGATTGTGCTTTGGGGGACACTGAGCCCAGCTCTCCAAGCTGAGTCTGGATCCCGAACTCCTCAAATTTCCACATTTTCCCTCCCCAGCTGTCAGCAGAGAATACCCTGGGAACAGGACAGATGCAGGTCAGCTGGGCAGGGACTTCTCCTCTCTTCTCCCTCACCTCCTACTGCCATCTGGAGTCTCCTGTGATGCCCAGGAAAGCGCTCCCATGAGCAGATGTTCAGAGATGCCTTGGGTTGGCCCTGGGCAGTCACTGGACACCACTGCCCCTCTGGTGCAGGTGCGGCTGGACAGCACGGGACACCCTCCTAGTGGGAGCAGAGAGAGCCCCCATGTCCCAGGAAGGACGTGGCTCCCTCCACATTCCTGGGCAGACTCTCTAATCAGGGCAACTGACACAGCCTAATTTTTTCAGAACATGCTCCTTTCTGTTCTTCCTAGTGCCTTCCTCCCAGCTGTAATTAGCATGACTCATAAACCAAATATTCTGGCATTGAACTTAACCCATCAAAACAAAGATGAAAAGAATATCATAGATAGAGTCAGGCTGCAGGGACACGCGCTTCCCATTTGTGTCGCGTTCTCTGGGGTTGGGCTCTCAAGTGAGTCCCTGTTCCTAGGCATGAGGGTGCTAGGGGACATCTAGGGTAAAGACACCAGGAAGGGCAGGAAGCACCAGAAGCTTCCCTCGCTGTCCCCACGCTCTGCTGACTGCCTGAGACCAACTCTGCCTGACAGCCCTCCTTCCCCGGGAGCACGATGGCCCTTTCAGAGGCAGCTTCCTCTCCCTACCCTGAGATGCCTGGAGCTATTAGGTGAGGCAGTGGCTTCCCGAGACTCTTCACCTTGGTGACTTAACTAGCTGGTGGGCCAAGGGTTGCTGCTTCCCCTGTTTAAACTGCTGAAATGTGGCTTCTGCTCAGGCCAAGTGTCCAGACAGCTCTCTGGGCAGGACCCTGCCATCTCCCTGGCCTTTCCAGAAATCTCCTGTCACTTTAGAGAGCAGCCAAGAAAACAGTGATTGACACTCCATGGTGAGTTGTCCTGCAAGCTGTTCTCAAGGCCCTGGGATTCTCAGGGCCCTGCCGGGGGTCTGCCCTGGGGTCCTTGCCCCAGCAGAGTCAGCCCTGAGCTTAAGTAGGGACATGCAGAGGAGGGTGCATCTGCTCCCTTCCTCCTACTGGGCCCCAGGGTAAAATTCTGGAACTACTGCTCCAAGGCCCTCACCCCTTGGGGAGGGGCAGGTGGTGTGGGCAGGAGTGGGCCTTGTGAGCTCTTTGGGAGGAAACTTGATCTCTGGGTCCTTTTCAAGTTCCCAACTGCGTGACGTTTGTGGTGGGGCGGTGTGAGTGGCTCTTGACACATCAGTACCCATCTTGCCCATGCTCAATTTCCAGAACTGAGCTTGTCATCTGAAGGTGGCTCAGAGGGGATGGTCCCCAGAAGGGGCACCAGAGATGCCCTGACCTCCACCTCCCACCAGGTTCTGCCTCTGAGGCCCCTTCCTCAGCCTTGGACTGGGCTGGCCCAGAGCTGCAGGCCCCTTAGCTGATACCTACCCAGTCCAGGATGGCCATTGGGATGGAAGTGGGCCTGTCTGGGCCCCCGTGTCTGACTGTCTTCCTGGTGCCTGTAGGAATTTTCCTTGAAATGAGGCAAAGCAGAGTAGGAGACGGTAGCTGGGAGACAGGAGCTGGGGGAGGAGGACAGAGGCAGACAGGCTGCGGGGTGTGGGGCGGCCAAGAGCCTGGTGCCCTGTGCTGGGCCACATGTTGCTCTTGGCCACAGACTCACTTGGGGGAGTGCCCCTACCCTTCGCCTTTGGCCACAGCCCCTCCTCATTGGAACATCTGGTTCCCAGCCGCCCTCTGCTGGGGGGACCAAGGAAGGAAAAGGACCTCAACTAGGAAAATTGCCAGCCCTGGGTGGGTTTGAGGCGGGCACAGGCCAGAAGGCAGGCTGTGCTCTGTGATGTTGCCCCATGGATGTCCAGGCTTGGTCTTCAGAGCTGGGCAGTGCCCGGCCCCGTTCTCCTCATGAAGAGTCTACAGTAAGAGGTGAGGGAGTCTGAGTAGGTTTGGGGTAACTGGAGGGCTCCAAGGTCTTCTGGCATTTAGAGTGGCCTTCTGGCCCCATGGAGGTCTGTCTGTGAGGGCTGGGACCAGAGTCCTGGAAGTCTGGCCTTGTGCTGCTGGGCCCTATCCCTCTGCACCCAGTGTTCAGTCTGTGTCTGCGTCTTAGAAGGGTCGGGAGTGCGGGGACCCTCTGCCTCTGTGGGGCAGTCTCCCCTCCCTTCTTCAGAGCTCACCAAAATGCCCCTCTCTTCACCTTGCAAAAGCAATGCCCTACAGGTGCTCATCCAGTGCCCCCCAGCCCCTCACATTTTAAGGGGATTCTGTGCCTTTACCCAAATAACTAAACTCTGGTCGAGGTGGGGGTTAAGATGCTAGCAGGCTGTCCCAGGGAGATCTTGGTGCCCTGTGTCAACAAACAGAGCTGTGGATGTCCCACACGGTGCCTGGCATACAACAGGCGCCCAGATGTAAGGTCTTCCTGGAGGCCCAAGGCTGCAGCTGCTGGTCCAGCTGTAACCAACCCAGCAGGGAGGAGTGGCTGCTGGATGGGGTGTGGGGGCAGGGCCATGCTCTCTGGCACGGTCTGGAGCCTCCTCAGGAGCAGGGGTCTGAGCTTTGTTGTTGGACATACCTGGTCTAAGGGGAGCCCCAGCAGCTCCAGCCTTGGGGCCTGAGCCCATTGGCGCACCTGTAAAATTGAGGGATGTTGGCAGGGTTTGGCTCAGGAACGGACAGAACACACCACAGCCTGAGCCTGGCATGCAGTAGGTGCCTGGAACTGTGGCAGTGGGGCTTTGTCGTCAGGGCCTTCTGAAGGTGGGGGGCACTCCTGTCTGAGGATGCACCTGGTCGCTGCATAAAACTCTCAGAGGTGGGTGTGAGGACATGGCCCTTTCCTTAGGTTTCAAGCTGCAGCCGCTGGCTCCACTCAGGCAGCTTCCGGCAGTGCAGGGCCACCACAGGTGTCGGGACAATGGCAGAACCAGCCCCTGCAGCCAGGAAACGTGCTTTCCCTGGCTTGCCCATCCCTGTCCAGGCTCAGCGCCACTGTGCTAGGATCCCTGTGGCTGTGTCCTCCGGCCTGGCCGTCTCTCACCGTAACTGCTGGGGATGTGACTACCACGGGGGGTGCCTCTCCTTCCTGTTTCTCGTGTCCCCACAGTGCAGCGGGGTGCACAGCAGGCTCTCAGCATGCACGGGTTGAAGGGCCGAGGGAGGAACTTGGGACGTGGCACCGGTCAGTTTATGCTCCACACGGCTCTGCTGGAGCTCTAAATTGGCCGCGGCCTCCCCAAACGCGCCGCCCATCCTACTTTCCTACTCATGGGGTCGAGTCTTCCGGAATAAGCAAAATGCTCCCTCCGTCCCCAGGGTGGGGCCTATTTGTCATTTTTCTAAGTGGAAAATAATGTGCACTTACTGTGACAAAAAACGTG